TTGTAACTCAAACTCATGAGGATTTGTGTAAAACAAATGGTGTAAGAAACAGCAAATACTCATATCCCATTTGTTTACAACTAATTCTGCGATCTGTTGTAGTTCAGAATATCTCAGCACAGCTCATTTGCTTACAGCCTTAGCTCCAACTCTTCATGGCTCTCCGCCGCTCACTTATCTCACCGAAATGGATCAACTTCTGTCGACTCTCGTCCTCAAAGCTCTTGGTTACGCTTTCTTTTCAGAAGAAAAGGACTTTACCTTTTCTTTTTTCACTTGGCGTCCGTTTCCGTTGTTCTGCCTCTCGGTCTACACCCGGGGTTTATTTTACTGACCTGATATCCGTTGCACGCCAACACTGTTCAAAGTGTTCTCATTAAGGTTTGACTGTAAACCAATGACTTGTAATTGTTGGAAACAAAACACGACTACTGATTTTGCACAATTATTACAAATTATATGGTAAAGTTTTGGTAGTAAATGATGCATATTTAGTAGTTATTTTTGTCATAGGTAATATCCATATACAAAAAATTCAAATCAAAACATTGAAAAGTTGTGTGTTTTGACAAGTAATGTGATGTCAAAATGCACTTTGGCTGTGGTATATTTACAAAAGATATTTTCACATCTAGACAAACGCTGTAACACATCAGCTCGAGGCCAAAAGACTGAACAAAATCAGTCCAAAGAGAAACAAAGTACTGTACTACCAAATCAATATATTTCAAATTAAATTATTCTTGTTTTATTTTTTTGTGTCTTTCTAACTACTGGTCCTGACAGTGTAAAAGTGCTACTGTCTTCATGTTTGATCTCATCTGGAACACAACTTTGCTTTTATCTGTTTATTTTATTTATTTTTTTTCTCATTTCACAATGTTTGTATGAAGATTGTTCATTTATTCCGGTTTTTATTAAAATGTCATGCGTTCCCTCACTGAGGAGTTATTTCTCTATAGCGGGGCTCTGCAACCTTTATCTTTAAAGGAACAGTTTTAAACCAGTTTTCTATTAAAAAAAGTTCATAAGAGCCTAAATCCTTTTCACTTAAAAAAAAAAACATACTGGACTGTACGGTGGCTATATTGGTAAAAAAAAACATACTGGACCGTAAGGCGGCTCTATTGGTAAAAAACATACTGGACTGTACAGCAGCT